AGCTCCTTCCTCGTTCCTTTCTGCTATTCGACCACTGTAACGAATAGCAGAGTGATGGGCTAGGACCTGGGGGAACCCAGGTTCAAATCCTGGCTAGGCCATGGAAACTCCCTAGGGGTGGGGAGGGGGAGGCACCCATGAAGCCACTCTTTAAATATCTCACTTACCAGGAAATTCCGATTAGGGCCGCTATAAGTCAGTTCCGACTTGACAGCGCAGAACATAAGTGACAGAACATTTGCATTTAATTTTTAAAATGCAAATAGGATCAGCTTGGCAGAGGGGGAATTCTGAATACTATCTCGATTGGAAAAGGCACGAAGGAGATGTTTAACCCGTTCTTTCCCTGTGATGAGCCTGAGGAAAACGTCCTGAAGTGGCCAAAAGATGATGACTCCCCCCCCCATCTCCCCTGGGTGGGTTGGAAGGTCTTTCTGGCCTCTCTGGATACTGGAAGATGCTTGTTCTGGCAGGACAGCAAAGGCAGGTGTGTGTGGGGGATCCTGATGTCTTCTGTCCATTATGCATGGTGTGTTTTACTCTCCTCTGGTTCGTGGTACCCTATGTGGGGGGCACCGTTGGAGCACAACAATAGGGCACCAGCAGAGGGCTGCCTCGTCTGTGGGCGACCCAACCCTCCTCTTGCAGGGTTGGAAAATGTGTTAATCCAGTCCCAGACACGCAAGCATCAGCCTCGAGATCCCAGCCGGAGCAGAAAAAACAAGGTCATAATCACCTTATTGATTCTGTCTCCGGCTGAAGGAATCTAATTGTGTGTTTCGTGTATGTGTGTGTGTGAGAGAGAGACAGAGAGAGAGAGAGATATCTGAGGAGGGGGACTGCAAAACGGAGCAAGCAATTCCATCTCCCCCTCTCGCTGCCGAGGGATTCACAATAGCTCAGCGGAAGCTTATGTTGTTCCAACACGTCAGTCAGAGCCTGCCTCCGTTAAGCAGATGAAGAAGCGTCTTGTCATTACTGCGGCGGGTCGTCCCTCTTCCCTTTGCTGATTATCCTCAAAGAGAACAATTTCCTTTCAGTGCCACGTTCCCCAGGACCGACATATGGCCTCAAAATCCAGATCCCACTTTGCAGGGGGAAGGATTTTTCTCTCTCTCTCTCTCTCTCTGCTGAGCCCTGAGACCCATTTCCAGCAAAGCGGAGGAAGCAGAGTAGAGGCCGGGTGGCCCCTGAAAAAGGGCTCCAGAGGCCGGGAAGGGGGGGATGTAGGGACACCGTTTTGCCCTTTTAATCCGAGCCGCAGAAAGCAAAGGAGGACGTCCGAAAAGAAGCAGCTGTTGATTTCTGCTGATACTCCTAGTTCTGCCAATGCCATAAATCTTCCCTCTAGACCATGAAAAAGAGTAACACACTCAAAAAAACACCCTTCACCCATAGGGTTCTCCGTTCTTGCAGCCTTATAAACCCCTGAATGTGGCTGATTTATCCAGGACCACCATGCAGGTCGCCTAGGGCCACCCGGGCTAGGAGGGACAATGGGGAATCGAACTCCCAACCTCTAGAGCCACAGACTTCACTCCCTGTGCTTTCCAGCCAGCTATGCGTGTGCATATCTCTAGAGTTCGTTCTCTAGACAATCTATTCCTTTGTTGATCTGAGCTACGCTGCTGCTCTGGGGTGGCCCAGTGACAGTGAGTTCCACAGGATAACGGTCTCCATGCATTATTCAGGTTATGCATCTGACTCTCCAGAGTGTCGTGTGGCTCCTCAGACCACCTCGGAAAAAAAAATTACGTGAAGTCCGTCGACAGATGCGAGGGGATTGTAATGCTCCTCGGTTGGAGGAACAGCTGCCGGGCCGGAGGGGATTTCTGTGGTGCACTCTCATTATTCTAATGCCATAACGACGTCTGGTAATTAAGGGCTGTCGGCTTTTTCTAGTGTTCTTTAGAAAAACAAGGTATTAGGGGCACCGGCCTTTTAGACACCCATCAGCGCCTCCAAAATTCCACTGGGGTTTGATTGCGCCTCATAAAAACTTCTCACAGTGACCCCAAAAGATATGTTAATGGTGGTTTTCCCATAGTAACCGGCCACAAGAGGAGACCCACTGAATCAAGGGAACATACAGAGGAATCAACACACCAAATCCCCATGGATTCAGTGGGTCTCCTCTAGTTGTGACCGGCCACTGGCTTTCTGCCATGGTTTCCTTCGTGTAAGGGGATGCCAGCTACCTATTTATGAGATGCTGGATTCCCTGTCCGTAAGGCGAACTCAACACCGTTTTGTTTAAAGATATGAAACCTTCATTTATTAATCCAAATAACATCATTTGCATTTACAACATTCATTGCATAAACTGGAACATACAAAGTATTTTTTTTTCCACCTCTGGTTAATAACAGACATAGAGTGCACAAGATACCGGCCGGATACAGGTTTAAACAAATATTTGGGTACAACGACTTTTGTCCATAATACATACCTTTTTTTTTTGTTCGTTTTTAAATATTTTATAGCTACTAAAGACACAGATCCATTGCTACTTTAGGTCTTGGAACAGGTAATCTAAAGTTGACATAAAACACAGAGGGAGGGAGGGAAGAATAGGGGCTGGGGGGTCTAGCGGTCATGGTGTGCAATCTCCTCCTTCAACCTTCCTTTTGCAAAAAAAAAATTAAATTAAGAATAATCAGAGGCTGCCAATATAGAACGGACTTTATAACCGACGCCAACGTTACCCAGACACCCATCATAGCTGGCTGTGATGTACGAAATGTCCATGCAATACACCAAGACAGGAGGAAGGGGAGAAAGAGCGGGAGCAAGAAAGAGAGAGAGAGAGAGAGAGAATTGTGTGAACCCCCCCACCCACCCGCCCACCCCCTTAATGATATATTCCCAACAGTCATTGCCTCACACTGTACTTTGTAACGACAGCTTTGCTATTGGAACATAAAAAGGAGGGGGGGAAAAACCGTCCCTCCCAACTCCTGGAAGAAGAAAAAACAACAACAGAAAAGTGGGCCCCGGTCGCTGCAGTTCCAGCTGCAAGACCATCGTTTTCCCCTCCCCGGTTCCGTCTTCTGCCTCCTTCCCGGTTCCGTTGGTTCGTCTCTTTAATATTCTCAGTTCCTTTTTTCCTCAACCCAGGCGGGCTACAACTCGTCGGACCGGACGACGTGGAAGAGGGTGACGTTGTAAAGGATCTGGTGGCCGTTGTTCCAGGCGTAGAGGGCTCTGTCTTTCGGATTGTAGTCCAACATAGAAATGTGGGAGTATTTGTTTAAGAAGGGGATATCTATATACTCGTACGTGGAGGTGTTGGTCTGAAAAGCGTAAGTCACCTTGGTTCCTCCAGAGTAGCCGTTGGTAACGTACAAAGTGCCGCAGATGATGAACCCTTCCCCAGCGCTGCGCTTGGGGTAGCTGGTGTTCCACGTCTGGATGCTCTGCAAGGTGTTGGGGTCCAGTTTGCTGATGACGATGTTCCCCGCGTTCTGGTTGGTGGCGTAGACGGCCCACAAGCCGTTCTCATCCACCATAAGGTCGATGTCCGAGTGCCCTCCCCAGGCGTAATGGTAGACGTTGTTGTATCCGGCGTAATCCAAGCTGCGCGTCTTAAGGATGGTCTCCGTTTTCAAGTCAAACTTGATGATGATGTGGCTTTGGTATTTGTTGAAATAGATGGAGCCGTTGTAGACCACCTGGCCCGTCCCGGACCACGGGTGAGGGAGGCGGTGGGAGGTGAAGTTGTCCGTGTTCATAAAGTCAGACATGGATTTGTACTCCCGGACAAAACGGTTGTTGTGATAGCTGTCCATATAAAACACCTGTGGGAAGAGGACACATTGGGGATATCAGACGGAGATGTGCATCATTGCAACAAGGATAGCCACGGACGTTTGTTGTGGCCAAAACCAACCTTCGTGCCCAGATGTTCCTGGGCTGCAATGCCTGGAAGCCTTTCACCGCCAGCTGTGCCGGCCATGACTTCTGGGAGTTGTAGTCCAAGAATATCTGGAAACCCCAGGTTTGGGAGCCCTTGCTCCAGACCCTGGTTTGTTTCGTTCAGATGATCTTCCAGACCCTGGTTTGGAGGCTCATCTGAACCAACCCAAGGATTGGAGTCTCATGCAGTCAAGCAGAGGTTCCCAACCTTGGGTCCCCAGAGGTCCTGGGGCTGTTTATCAGGCAAACGTCCTGCATACAGCGGGGGAACGTGGGGCTTCGTCCTCCTTTGCAGCCTGTGATCAACAGCGTCACCTCTGAGGCAAAGGCTAGTTTGACGCTCGTCCTGCAGGAGAAAGGTGTTTCCTGCAGGTATAGCTGGGGCATCACCAGGACTAGCCTCACCCCAGCTGGAGCAGGCATCTGCTCAGACCGCGGGTAGGCGGAGCAGGTTTCTACGGGGGGGGGAGCAGCAATTCACACATCCAGCTGCTGGTCATCAAGAGAAACCGTAATCCTGTGCAGAGTAATCTAACGATGGCTTTGAAAGAGGATTAGGCAATTTCCCAGAGTCTGTTGTGTGTTTTTAAAACGACTACAACCGTAAGCCTCTCGGAAGAACCTCTGTGCCTTCAACCAAGGAAGATGGCACGGCCTTCCGGTGTACTGTCGCTCCCATCAGTCCTCATTGTTGGCCAAGGATGATGGGAACTGTGCACTCCAAAAACATCTGAAGCACCTCCGACACACCCTAACCCCAGCCCTGCTTTGGACCATCAGGCAGAGGAACACGTGGGGGTTATAGCCGGCAAGCCCAGCCCTGCTTCCTTACATCCGAAATATGACACGGGACGGGATTTGGGACCCCCGATAGCTCTGTACTCTTCCCATTAATACCCCAAATAAAATTATAGGAATAATGAGTTGATTGACTGAGTGACCAATTTTCCCCAATCGTTCTAGGTCACAGAATTCTACCTTGTTGTGGGGTAAAGATTTTCTTTCTTTAATGCACGCTCATGCGAAGGACGCACCACCTTCTTTATAGAACTGCACTTCAAGTACTGGATTCTACTTTTGCACAAGAAAGCTGGCCAACAGGCCTCTGGAACTTAACAGATAAGAGGAGCCCCATCCCTTCTTGTGTTGATCAGGTGAGAAGACTCAGCCGCCCAACGACGCTCAGTTTGGTGATTAAAGACTCAACTGTCAGAAAGTACGACTGGCAAAGAAACCCAGCGCTTTACGATTGACGGCCAGCTTCGGTTTCTTCTGCATCCTGAAAAAGGCATTGCTCTGTCGCTCAACTGCTGTGCCTCTCTGCCTTCCACTCTTTCCTACTCCTTCCTTTCAGAGGTTGGTGAAGCAGAGAGAGAGAGAGAAATGGGGAAACGAAAATCCCCTTTTGATTATCGCTTTGGAACGGTGTCAGACGCGCCAATACCGTTTGGGAAGCAGGAAACCTGGCAGCGTGGCTTACTTTACGGGAAGCTCACACCTGAGATCCTCATGTAGATGAGAAGGAGAAGAACAGCCGGTCGCTTTGCTGGGTCAGGCTGAGCGCGCTACGTACTCCCAAATCTTGCTTCCAGCAAGAAAGGGGACCCGTTCGTACAAGCACAGAATTGGCACCGTCCTGTTGGTGGAGGTATTGCTAGGGGTGCTGAGTGAGGAAATCCAGGGGAGGTTTGCTTAAAAGACCCAACTCTCTGAGGATGCTTCCATGCAGCCCACGGCTCTGTAGAAAGAAATCACAACAGTATGCCCAGGGTCAAACCCGGAGGGTTGTAAACCTACCTTGTTTTCACCTTCTGGAGCCAAAGGATCTGTCATCCACGAGCCAAACCTGGATCCGGATGTCTTGACCGTGATCGGGTCACTTATTGCTGTCAATTTCCCACAAGCTGCAAAAAAAAAAAGGGAGAGAGAGTAAACTCCACGAACGCAAGAGTCGGTTGACTAGAAGCAAAAAGGGGCTGGTCTATTTTCATCGAGAAGGGAAATGGACACAGAAAGCAGAAGGGACCGAAGGTAAGGTTCACTTTGGACCTTTGATAAGCGGCTGAATTTGGCTCAGGTCAGTTCACAGACTTGCCCAGAAGGGTCAGAAGGAGAATCTTCGGGTGCAGTCTGATGACGAGAAAGGATGGGGTCTGATCTCACCAGAAAGGGACACTTTGCTGGAAGCGAGCTCCGTTAAAGAGACCCTTTGGTCACAGAGGAATCATTCCATCCTAGCCTGAGAAAATAGTCATCATCCCCCCCTCAAAAAAGAGATCTGGCTTGCACACATAAAGGGTTGGGCTGGTTCGCATGCACCTGCACGTCGTGCTGCTGCAGAGATAGCTCGCAACATGTGGTGCGACAAGCGGTCCAAAATGTGACCCATTTCCCTGTACCTTTCATTCAGAAATCAAAATCTCGGGGGGGGGGGGCTTTTGCCAATGTCTGGACTCCAACGGATAGTAAAAAAAACACTGTTTTCCCCCCAACGTTATTTGCAAGCTTTGTAATTTACAGGCCTGGTAATCTCTCGTAACCTCTTAAGAGGGGATTAGGCCTGACGAATTCTGACACAGAAGAGCAGGAGAACTGCTCTAAAAACGGCAGATCTTCAAAAAAAAAAATGAATTCTGTTTCTTTTCATTTCCTATTCAGCGGAACAAGAAGTGCAAAAATAGTTGACCCTTACGAGGAATTTCAATGCCAAAACGGGGAGGGAGTTTTTGAACAAGGCCAGCCTTGATAAGCAGGGGAGTCTTTTTTAAAAAAGGGGGAGAGGCATGCTTATTTCTATAGGACTTAGGGTAAGCATTTGTTATAAAAATAGAATACTGAATAGAGTGGTAGAATGATAGAATCAAAGGGAATAGAAGCCTTGAACACATTGCTTCAAGTCACACACTGCGGGTGCACCGGCTACCTCTAGATTTCCACTGAAGCAGGAGAAAGAGGCTCTGGCTTTCCATGACCCCAAGCATCTTGACTCCCAAAGCTAATCAGATAATTAGAGAATTGTAGAGTTGGAAGGGCCCTCGAAGGCCATCCAGTCGGAGGCTCTGGCTATCCAGACCCCCAAACCTCCTGACTCCCAAAGCTAACCAGATAATTAGAGAATTGTAGATTTGGGAGGGTCCTCGAAGGCCATCCAGTCCAACCCCTGCTCAAGGCAGATTATCCAAATCAAAGTAACTCCGACAGAGGGTGGTCCAGTTTCCTCTTGAAAGCCTCTGTTGCTGTTCCGTTGTCGTACTGCTCGCGCACACATACCTCATCTGTTAAGACAGCCCCCTTGGCCTGTTTAGCCTTGCAAAGTATCGTGGGATTCAACTGGGCAGGAATGATATGGTAGCAAGATGCCTCAGACTGGTTCTGAAGGTCTGATGAGAGATTTTATGCATTGCATGAAGACCACTGGATGTTTGCAGACCACACTCCAAAATCCGGCAGACGTGGCTAAGGTTGTGCTCTGCTACAGTTTGTGCCTACGGCAGCTCTGCCCTGCCTCGCTGCCCCACCTGCTTTTTCTAATTAAAGGTAATTAAACTGAGACGTGTTCGGTTCTTCTGGTTGCTTTCTCGCCTTAATGAGAAAGCCGCCTTATCGCCATGCCCCTAAGAAGCAAGGTCCTCTGAAAACAGCTGGATAGCCAGAGGTGCCCAGTAACAAGCAGGGAATATTGATGGGGGGGTCAGCTTGGTGGACACACAATGGATTGACCACAACAGGCTCAGAAGGGGGGGGGCTTGCAACTTTCTGTGTGTGTGCTGTCAAGTTGGAACCAAATTAGAGTGACCCTAAATGGGTTTTCAAGGTAAGTGAGATAGTTAAAGAGTGGCTTTATTATGAAAGCTGATATTAGATGGTTTGGGTATTCGAAGGACTGTGATTTGGAAGACATCGGATGCTTGATTTTCTGCAGGTTCAGAGAAGGAAGACTTGGACGGATGGATTCAAACCACAAGAAACCAACGACGGGAATTCTGACGCTAAGAGCTATTCAACAGAGTTACAAGTTCCCGGCCCTTTGGAGGGATGAGCTCCTTGATTGGAACTCGGATGTGGGGCGTGCGCATCACCAACGAGGGAAGGCCACGACTGCCACATCCCCGCAACCTCTGGATTCCCTCCTCTTCTGCAAATCTGAATTGGTGGACGAGAACCTGGTTTCCAGATGGGTCTTGTTTGGACAGACTCCCCCACCCCAAGAAAGCCTGGAAGCCGACCTTCACTGGCGAGGGGTTTAGCTCTACTTTACCAACGTGGTTCAATTGTGGGGGCTTCTCTGAGCCTATGCAGAGTGTCTCTCAAAGGGTGCCTGCCGTAACCTTGGGCTTACGTTTGGGCTACAGAATTCCTCCCCTGCTTCGCACCTCTTGCATCCATGGGCATACACCCCTCCACTGCGCCACAAAATGCACTTAGAATGGCATAGATTTCTGCTGGGCGTGACTGGGCAGAAGGACGACCCCCTTGAGGTCCCAGCATTTCTCCCACGACCCTCCCCACCGCCAGCCCAAGAAGCTGGGAACGACTGGACTGCGTGACTCCTGAGGTTACCCTTCTGACTGTGGGGTTCTTGGAGTCTAAGCCATCCAACGTGTTGGCTTGAGATGTGATCTCTGGCCTAAAGGCACACAGGGGGTCAGGCCTCTGTTTCGGAGCTGCGGCTTCCCCTCCCCTCCCCTCTGTGGCTGATTCTGAAGGTGGGGCGGCTCTCTGAAGACTTTGCAGGGAAAAGTCTTCCTCGGTTCCTTCTTTTTAGGTGCCATGAGCAACCCCCCCTCCCCAGCTTGAGTTGTGTTAGGGTGAACGCAGACATCCCCCTCCTAAGGCGGATCAAAGTCAGGCTGATGGGTCAGCAGCCCACATGAAAAGAACTGAGGAGCAAGTCTTTTAGAAAGTGAATGACTCTTAATTGCTTATTCAAGACCACACCACCCTCAAATACTTTTGCATGAGAAGGGAGACACCTTGTAAATACGGTGTAGTGGGGTGGGTGGTGGGTGGGTGGTTTCCAGGTTTTTCCCCCAGCTATTGTGAGGACCACTGCTAAACTCCAGGGGACCCTGTTCGGTGTGTGTGTGTTGTGTGGGTATTGCCATGGACCCTGCTCATCAGAAAGTCGTTGGCGTCTGACCCTGAACGCCCTGGGTCTACTACACCCTTGCCCAGAAGGGCCTTGGCTGAAACTGAGCTTTGACCTCTGCTGTGTGTGTGTGTGTGTGTGTCTCCTGAACCCCTGGGGCACCTCTGTGTCTGCTTGTGACCCATCCAACACAGGCGTGAGAAGGCACCGCCCCTCCAGAGCGGGTGCTCTTCCTTCCTCCGGTGTGAAGCCTACCTAATTTTTGCATGCATGCCCGGAGCCTCTCTTCAAGATTGGACACTCTGTTCTGAAGCTCTTCGTAGTCATAGGCGCCAATCTCTTCCTGGAGCTCGTTAAGAACAGACGTCAGATTCTGGACCTCCTCTTTAAACTGCAAAACCAATTTGGCATCGGCTTTGTACTCTTCCAAGACTGGGATCAAGGGCCTAAGCTCCTCCATTTTCGCTTTTATCGCCTGCAAGGTTAAAATAAGCTTGGTTTCAGTGCCTGGTGCGTAAAACCCCTTCCTCACAAACCTGCCTCTTCTCCTAGCCTGCTAAGGGATGTGCCTTGGTCCATACCCTCGCCATAATGGCCATTGTTATTATTAGTATTATTAATGCTGGCTGGGGTGTCCAAATGTGGAAGAATATATAATATGGCATTAAACAGTCTGAAGAACACCATCTTATTTGGGAAAAAGGCCTTTATTTAGAATATTTTTTTTTTGTTTTTAGAATGCAACATCTTAAGGTTACATGCTTCGGTCACATACACAAATTCTTTGTTTTTTCTTCTCCATAAATTAATAATAATAATAATAATAACAATAATAATAATAACCAATGCATTGACACGGAGTTCCAAAAAACTAGTGATGAAAATGCTTCTCTACAGATTTACATGCAAAAGAAGAGGTCTCACTTGTGTGGTGATGCTTAAAGGTCCTGATTTGAAAAGAAAAAAAGGGGGGAAGAAAACAAGGAAGAAAGGAAGAAAAGAAAGCAAAAGATGGCGGGGAAAAGCTCTCTGCCCTCTGCTTTGTTCATGGTTACATGTGTGAGGGGGATGGACAGCTTCTTCAGCCAGTGCGACATTGTAAAAATTTCTTTTAAGTTAGCCCTGCAAGCAAGAAAACGAGACACTGTTGAAGAGCCTGCTCGCTAAGCTGCCTGAAAACAGAACAGTAGCCATTCAAAGACCAGTTTTGTAAAAACTACAGTGGCGATAGAGATGCTTTGGCCTCCCTAACCACGCTGACTCTCGATTAAGTGCCACCAGCTTAGTTGGAAGTCAGCACCGTGAAGATTTCTCAGCCCATGGCCCAGGCCCCCATGGAAGTCCATAGATAATCGAATGTAACGAGTGACTGCAAATTTTGTAAGCTGTACAGAAGACATTGGAAGACAGGGCAACTTGGGTCTCTCCGTAGCTAAGCCAAACGGGAGGACCTCAGTTGTCATTGGCTATCTTTGTGCACAACTGTAGCAGCTTAAATAGCCTCCCTTAAACGAACATTAAACATCCACTAGAAACCTCCCCCCTCATTTCCTTCTGGGCAAATGAAGTTTTCATACCAGGGGGGTGCCTGCTCCCCTCCTCAGCTCCACCACCCACCGAGAAAGGGCTGCAAAGAGTAGTGCCCTCAAAGCACCAAGAACTTGCTATATATACCACCCCCACCCGGATGGTCACCATCACACATTAAGCCAGCCTATTCTGGTAGGGGAAGGTTTAGCCCAGTGGCAGCCCAGAGGCCGACCCCACTATGGAAGAGGAAGGGGGATCTCCACCTTACAAAGGGTCAGTGGGTGGATGGATGGATGGATGGATGGATGGATGGATGGATGGATGGATGGATGGATGGATGGATGGATGGATGGATGGATGGATGGATGGAGGGATGGATGGGTGGGTGGGTGGGTGT